CAAGTCTCTGCATACAGCAAGTACCCTGTCTTGCTCATTCCCTTAACTATGAAACTCATAGGAAGAGTGGCCAGCTCTATATGGTCTTTGCTTCACCACCCTTTCCTCCTCCTCCTGCCACCCCAACACTGGGTGTCCCCAAGGACCAGCCACACACCCTAGACCCACTCCAAACCATTCCTCCTCGCAACCATTCCACAACCTTCAACCATGATTCTTCTCCCTCTGCAGTTAGCCTGTGAGGCTTTGCAGGCAGCCCTCTTACCCGCTCCCTTGGCATTACTGCTCTGAGGCTCAGCGCTCTGCCCTCCTCCTACACTCCTGAAAGTTGAGGCCTGTTATACACCAGTTCTAAGTCCCTAGAGGCCTCCTCCTGCAGGCACCTGGGGAGACTGCAAGAGCATCAGGTGTCCCCACCTGAGCCTGTCTATTTGACCATACTTCACATGCACCCCCGCGCAGCTCTGTGGCATTAACCTGTGGACTAGTTTTGCTGGGCCTGAAGACAGCTCAGCCTCGTCAGCCAGAGATGCCTTAGGGCATCCCCTGAACTGAGAGGCCGCAGCATCTGCTCTTCACTTTTATCCTGTTGTAGGATGCAGTCAGCACCTAGTGCAGGGGTGAACGCCAATGCCAGTTTGCCCTCCTGTCCCTCTATCTCTCCTTACCTGGGCCTACCTGAACACCCTTGTCAGTCACATGTCTTCCAGGTCTGCTCTTGAAGGCATTCCATGCCCTCTGAGGCCCTGCCAATGCCTGAAAAGCCCAGATCTAGCTGAGAACGAGAGCCTGGCTGTCTGCTCAGGCATCCTCTGCCCTGTTCTGCCTTGAAACTCCATCACGGTTCATTGCGGAAGACCCTAACCAGTGTTCTACAGAGGGTGTTGGCTTCTGACAGCTCTGGATCTGCCCTGTGTCCTTCATGTAGTAAGGAATTGAAGGCCAAGTCTCTGTACAGGCCTCACTGGTGACTCACACACATCCCCACCCCTACCATTCCATGAGATGATATGGCACTTCTATCTGTCTGAAGCACTGTTTGCCCTGAAGAACATGCTGCCTGTTAGAGAAGATGATCAGGCAGATAAATATATTTACACCCTCATCCAAAAAGAACAGGACCTGAAAAAGCCTCTTAGAGACAACCCATTTAAAATGGAGATCTGGCCTGGCGCGGTGGCTCAAGCCTGTAATCCCAGCACTTTGGGAGGCTGAGGTGGGTGGATCACGATGTCAAGAGATCGAGACCATCCTGGTCAACATGGTGAAACCCCGTCTCTACTAAAAATACAAAAAAAATTAGCTGGGCATGGTTGCATGTGCCTATAATCCCAGCTCCTCAGGAGGCTGAGGCAGAATTGCCTGAACCCAGGAGGCGGAGGTTGCGGTGAGCCGAGATTGCGCCATTGCACTCCAGGCTGGGTAACAAGAGCAAAACTGTCTCAAAATAAATAATAAAAATAAAATGGAGACCAGTGTTTCATACAGCACAGAGTGAAAAAGGTTTGATCTGAATTTAATCTTGCAAAATGAAACTATTATTGTAATAAGTATCTTTTTGAATTGACAGAATTGTATATAATATACAGTATGTTTTGAAATATGTACACATTATGGAATGGTTAAATCGAGCTAATTAACATATGCATTTTCTTTTTGTGGTGATGTGATAAGAAACACTTAAAATCTGCCCTCTTAGGGATTTTCAGGAATACAATACATTGTTGTTACCAAAGTTACCATCTGGTAAGATGGAGCCCTTTAACCTATTCCTAACTGAAATTTTGTATCCTTTAACCAGTATCTCCCACTGTTCCCACTGTTTTTTTTTTTTTTTTTAGAGACAGAGTCTTGTTCTGTTACCCAGGCTAGAGTACATTGAAACAATCTTGGTTCACTGCAACCTTTGCCTCCTGGGTTCAAGTGATTCTCCTGCCTCAGCCTCTCGAATAGCTAAGATTACAGGCGCGTGCTATCATGCCCAGGTAGTTTTTATATTTTTTAGTAGAGATGTGATTTCACCACACTGGCCAGGCTGGTCTTGATCTCCTGACCTCGGGCTAACCACCCACCTAGGCCTCCCTAAGTGCTGGGATTACAGGCGCCCTGCCCTCTCCCACTGTTTTTGTTAAAATGTTTTAACAAAAGGTAATTGCAACTATAGGCTAATTCTTTGATGATGTTACTGAGACAGGGCCAGTCTCGTTCTGTGGCTCAGGCTGGAGTGTAGTGGCATGATCTTGGCTCACTTCAAAAGATTCTCATGCCTTAGCCTCCAGAGTAGCTGGGATTACAGGCACAGGCCACTATGCCCAGCTAATTTTGTAGTTTTAGTAAAGGTGGGGTTTCGCCACGTTGGCTAGGCTGGTCTCAAACTTCTGACCTCAAATGATCCACCTGTCTTGACTTTCCAAAGTGCTGGGATTACAGGTGTGAGCCACTGCTGCCAACTGGGCTAATGCTTAAAAATATTTTAGGTGTATTTCCCTCCCCGAATTATATGATTGCAAAATAGTACATCATTTCATGTTTGATTTTTTTTTTTTTTGAGATGGAGTTTTGCTCTTGTTACCCAGGCTGGAGTGCAATGGCGCGATCTCGGCTCACCGCAATCTCCGCCTCCTGGGTTCAGGCAATTCTCCTGCCTCAGCCTCCTGAGTAGCTGGGACTACAGGCACACGCCACCATGCCCAGCTAATTTTTTGTATTTTTAATAGAGACGGGGTTTCACCATGTTGACCAGGATGGTCTCGATCTCTTGACCTTGTGATCCACATGCCTTGGCCTCCCAAAGTGCTGGGATTACAGGATGTTTGATTTTCTAGAGTGTAATCAATCACAAGATCATTTTAGGAAAAGTTACTCAAGGACTTCCTCAATTTCCCACTTAAATCCTTTAGTCTTTGATAATCACATTATGCCCCTAGGGAGCACCTAAATGGTCAGACATGTCGGCTTTCCCTTCATCTGTTACTGGACCTAACAGATCCTTATTTGCCAATGGTTACCCTCATCTGAGCAGTTTCCCAACACATTCCCCAACTGTGAGAAAATGCATATTTCACAAAACTTAAATTGTACTTTGGTACCTGTTTTGTTGTATTTCAACATCTCACAACCCATAGCAGGTGGATCATTTGGGAGAGGGCAGGGCGCCTGTAATCCCAGCACTTAGGGAGGCCTAGGTGGGTGGTTAGCCCGAGGTCAGGAGATCAAGACCAGCCTGGCCAGTGTGGTGAAATCACATCTCTACTAAAAAATATAAAAACTACCTGGGCATGATGGCACGCGCCTGTAATCTTAGCTATTCGGGAGGCTGAGGCAGATGGAGAGTATGTTAAGGAGGGAGAGATGCTTAAGTGGAGAGTGATTTTCTGTGGTTGTGTAGAGAATACTTTTCATGTTTGAGGACTTTAGCTTTCTCCACAACTAGTGGCTACGGGAACTTGGATACTGAGCTCAGAGGAATAAGAGTACATACATGCACGTCTGAGCAGGGAGCCTGCCCCTTGGGGGATAGCAGTGACTTCAACAGATGGTGTTGAGGTCAGGGTGAGCCAAGGCAAGAGGGTGGTTTTTGGGATCTGAGCCAGAGTGCATGGGTTAGCAAACAGGAAAGGCAGGAAATATCTGTTAAAAACTTAGGCCAAAAAAGTCTGTCAGGCCAAACACTGGTCTTAATTCTATAGGAATGTGAGGTTTCTGGACAGAGAATGGAACAAGATGATAATAGTTAATATTTGTTACGGGCTAGGAACTGTTCAAGTACTTTCCATGAATAACACATTTAATTATATTAACCTGAGGAGGTACTATGGTAGCCTCACTAGAAGCGAAGATGACTGAGCCAGTAGAGCTGTTAACCCCTGGCCCAAGGTCACACAGTAAGCAAGCAGCTGAGCCACGGTTTGAATCTGGGCCATCTGCCTCCTGAGATCATTCTCAACCGCTGCACTACCCAGCCTGGAGCCAGGCTGACTGGGAGTGGGTACTGGGAGGTGAGGCAAGATGAAGTAGAAAGAGCAGTAAGAGGCCACTTCATGATAAAAGACCTAAACCAGGGCAGAGAAGGGTTCAAGAGCAATTCCAAAAAACACAATGTTAAAGTACTAGTGCTGTTTCATTGGGTTTACACAGGACTGTTTCCAAAACTCAGTAAATCATGCATGAAGCAATCACCATTGCAAGAAGGAATCAGTTGCTCACTAAAATTCACTGTTTTGGCCGGTGTGGTGGCTCACGCCTATAATCCTAGCACTTTGGGAGGCCAAGGTGAGTGGATCACCAGGGGTCAGGAGTTTGAGACTAGCCTGACCAACATGGTGAAACCCCATCTCTACTAAAAATACAAAAATTAGGCTGGTGTGGTAGCAGGTGCCTGTAATCCCAGCTATTTGGGAGGATGAAGGAGAACTGCTTGAACCTGGGAGGCAGAGGCTGCAGTGAGCAGAGATTGAGCCATTGCACTCCAGCCTGGGCAACAAGTGCAAAACTCCATCTCAAAAAAATAAAAAATAACATAAAATGGACTGTTTCTCAGGAGGAGCTCCCACAATTAACAGTTTCCCTTCTAATGCACTGACAAATTGGCATTTAAGATAAATTTGCAACAGCTACCAATTCCCTCGGGGGTCAGTGATCCTGTGAGTGATTACATTATAGAAAATCAAACATGAAATGATGAAGCTAGAGCTCAGTGTCTGTCTAGGCAAGTGCCTGCATGTGCACAGCTCTGTGCCACCCAGCAGACAGAGCCCTGACCCCATGTTGTAAGACCTGTGTTCTAACCCTCAATCACTTATGGGGTGGGGGGTTGACCACTCTGCTCTGCTTTCATTTCTCACCTATGGGGATGTTTGTCCGATTTGCCCATGGGACTGTTGAGGATCCAGTGAGGAAATAGATTATGTTTTACAAAGTCTGGCTGATATACAGCAGTTAGAATGATGTCCTGCCAAAGCTTACCCTTGAACATCTGTGACTGATTTCCAGCACCTTACCTGCGTTCCAGTGTCATCTCCATGGGAGGTGGCGGGACTCCTGTTTGTCTGCTGTGCAGTCTGCCAGCTCCAAGGCAACTGCATCCCTCTTCTTATTCGTTATCTGCCAAACCCAAGAGAAGAGGGAAATAGGTCTCTCAGGGTGTGGGAAGGACTTTTGGCCACCTCCAGCCAGGACAGTCCCCAACAAGAAACACTGAGGTTGGGGTGTTGCCGGAACAGGTTTTCTGGCAAGGAATAGGAAGCTCTGCCCTGGGCTACTGAAGTCTCCAAGAGATGGGCTCCAGGGGTGGCTTTGCTTCCCATACAGGTGAGGTCCAGGCAAGCAGTCAGCAGTGCAGACCCCCTTCCTTCAGGGCTCCAGCCACCTTACCTCCATGTGGGCCAGTGTCTGGATGTGCAGCCAGTGATCCCTGAGCTTCCCAAATACAAACCTCTTGGTGGGTGCCTGTCCTGGGAAAGGAACGGCACCAGAGGTTGACTCCCTGGTCAATTTCTAATGTTTCCTCTGAGCCCCAAGGGCAGTATTCTGCAATAAGCTGCCTTGTCTGGCCTCTCTTGCATACAACTGGTCTGTACCCCACAGGGAATTAGGGTCAGGCAGCAGGTCCAGAGGGTAGAGGCATCATGCCCATGCCTACTAAACCCCCTGATTATGACCTTTCGGGGAGTATTCCCGTCCAGTCTCAGAGTAGGAGCACACATCCAAGGATCCCTCCAGAACCCTTTCCTCTGGTACCCTCAACCTTGCTCTGTACTTCAGTAGCCCTGTTTGACCCATGGGTCCTTCCCACCTGCTCTCCCCCCATGCCCCAAAGCTGCTTCTGTTGCTTCCCCTCCTCTCCCTTCCCTTCCAGCCCAGACTCCCACTCCCCTGCAAGCCATCCAGAACAGTCTCACACTAAGGCATGGAAAATGTACAAGCCAGAAACAGCACAACTATCGATCCACAGGACAAGGAATAAGTAACTTGTAAAACAGTTATCCACAAAACATAGCAACGAATCAATAAAGTAGTTACATACAACCACATGGACAACTCTCACAAAATACTGAGTTGAAAAAATAAAATATATGCTGTATGATTCCATTTTTGAGAAGTTCAAAACCAGTCAAAACAAAACTAATCTTTGGGTGTGCAAGGACATGGTAACTACAAAAGCTGAGGCCTGGTGGCCTCTCGGAGGATGTAGACAGCAGGTTACGGAGGATCTGGAGTGCTAGTGATGCTCCAAGGCTTGATTGGAGTAGTGGGTTTACAATTCAGCAAACCCTACAGATACATCTGATGTACTTTCCTACATGTATGTTATTTCATGGGAAAATAAAAAACCATCTAGCACCCCCTCCCCCCACTCGGACTTGACTGGCTCAGGGCACTAGCCCCCTAGTGTGGACACCCCTTACCCTGTTGGTCTCAGTAGGGAGCATTGGATGGGGCACTTCCAGGACCTGAGAACAAAGGGGTGGCCACAGGGGTCCCACCTTTATTGCTTCCTCTGGGGTGTCTTCCTGAGCCAGTTTGTCACACCCTGTCAGCCCCACTGCATTCTCTGGGGAGTTTGGTTGTGTTGACCTAGAGCACCCAGTTTCCTGGCTTCCTAGGGCAGCCTTACCTGATCCAGGTCTGTTTCTTACAGAGGGATCTGCTCTGATGCGCCATCTCAGTGCCCCAGGTTTAATTTAGTATCTTCTGGGGTAGTCTTGGTCTTTGTCATTTGTTTCTGTCATGTGGTCACCTGCTCACTTACTTATAGTTAGGGGGAAAGCTTACAGGGAGTCCATGCCTGGGAACATTTGATTCTAAATGAGAATGCCTGTCACATAGTAAGGTGAATTCCTACTCCATGTCAGACGCCCGTTGGCCACGGAAAGCCAGGATCCTTGTCCTCTTGGAGAGGACTGCTGAGAAGACAGGGAAGTGCGGTGAGGCCTGCAGAGCAGGCTGGTGGGAACCTGCACTGAGCAAGTCAGGAAAGGGAAGGAATGTTTCACTGAGGGATGGAGAGGGAACAAGGAAGATGCTCAGCCACTTCTTTGTTTCCTTTAGCCCTGACAACCATGCTTTATGATAGGTATTATTATTCCCATTTTACAGATATGGAAACTGAGGCACAGAGGGGTGAAGAGCCCAGCCCAAGGTCACTCAGCTAACGTCGCAGAATAAGGACATAAACTCCAGTCTAGATGATTCAGAAGCTGTAAGTGAGGAGGCTGCTGCCACAGTCATGGACAGGAATGATGGTGGTTTCACTGGTTATGGAGCAAGTAGATGGGTAGGCTCAAGAGAGGCACTAATGATAGAATTGACGTTCTGTGGACTTGGGCAGGGATCAGTCAGAGATGACTCCCAGCTTCAGCCTCGATCAACTAGGTGGACAGTGATTTACATTCACCAAGGTGAAGAAATGGGAAGAGCAGATTTGGAGGGAAAAAAATCATTCATCTAAATTTGATACATTTTACTTCAGTAAAAAGAGAGAGAAATGGGTTGATTAAATGAAAACAAGATGATTCCATGCCTAGAACCCGTCCTTCAACCCCAGCATTCTCTCACATCCTTCGTCCCTGCTTCCTTCCCACGTCCTCATGTACATTGGTACTTTCTGATCCTTGGGCCCTCCAATAAATACCCAATGCCAAGCAGATTGCGTTCAAAAGAAACGCCCAGAGGACACTGTCCTTGGCCACACCACCCACCGCCTCACCCCTGCTTTCTCCTGACCTTCTCAGGGTGGAGTTCCCTTCATCTTTCTATTCCTGAGACCATTCTCTGCATGCAGAGCAGGCTTGATAGGTGTGCGGCCTCTGCAGTTACACAGGGCCCCACACTCAGAAGGGCCCACTTTCAGTTTAATGTTCCTCTGTTGCAGGCTTGAAACTCCTAACATATTAAAGGGTCCCACACTTTCATTTTGCAGTAGGTCGCAAATTATATAGCCGGTCCTGTATGTATGTCTGCTTCGTAATGGTGCAAACCAACGTGCGCAGCCTTTCCCATTTGCGGCAATGAACCTTATTTCCATCTAAGAAGTCCAACTGCTTCAAACCACAGGGAGACAAAGCGAAAAGAGTTCAGTTCTTTTGTTTCTATGAAATACACTTTTATGTGTAGTTTTATGTTTCTTCCTGGATAATAATTTAGGAGAGAACCCTGAGGAACACGATAAAGAAATAACAAATTATAGGCCATTAACTGTGGCTAATTATTTCTTTATAGCTTAGAGTGCAGGCACATCTGAGCTACTTTGGCACTCACAATTAAAGGACAGGAGGGAGGGAGGGCTGCTTAAATACAACATAGGGCCCATGGGGAGATAAAGGGAGGAACAATTCAGTGCAGGTTCAGCATCCCTAATCCAGAACCTGAAACATTTTGAGCATCAACATGATGCTCAAAGGAAATGCTCATTGGAGCATTTCAGATTTCAGATTTTCAGATTAGGGATGCTGAACTATTAAGTATCATGAAATACAGTTTTATGTGTAGTTTTATGTTTCTTCCTGGATAGTAATTTAGGAGGGAATCCTGAGGAACAGGATATTCCAAAATTTGAAAAAATCCAAAATCCTTCTGGTCCCAGCATTTTGGATAAGGGATACTCAACCTGTAGTCTCAGTCTGGCTTCCAAAGCATAAAAGCATAGCAGCATCCAGATATGCAAATAAACTTATGGCCAACCCAAAGGTCTAGTATCTGGTTTGACTCTGTGGAAGAAAGGATTTCCTGTTTCACAGAAGCCTTTTGTTCCTTGCCCTTTATCTTCCCCTCAGCGCCGCCCCCCGCCCCGAGAGAGACAGCCACTTAGCCTAAGTTATGAAAGGGTGTGCTGGGGACTATCAGAACCCTCAAGAGAAAGGTTTGTTGGTCTGGTTTATGCTACATTTAGAAGGTGGCCCAGGACTGTTCCTACAGTCTAGACTGGAACCAGGACTCAGGGGAGGGGTGACTCGAGAAAGAGAGAGATCAAAAAGCAACTGACTGGGAAAGTCAAGAAACATTTTTGCCACTCCTGGAATCCATGAATGTTGAATGACTCAGCAGGCTGTTTTCTTTCTGGTGATGGACAGTTCCTTCAAGATGCGGCAGGGTTACAGTTCCATACTGTAATATGTTGGATAATGAGCCTTCAACTGGGTCTAAAATTAGGACTTTGACATACAAGAAAAATGTCTTCGGGTTTCAGGTTTTCTTTATCTGGTTTCCTTTGTATACTTCAGCTCTTCTGTCTATCCTCCAGAAAAGACCAAGCTGATCTACTCACTGACAGCACAAAGAATGCCGTAAGGGTCACTGAAGACAAATTGTGCTGGTTTGGGAATAAGACAAAAGAAGCCAAACTCCTCTTTCCACAACTATGTGCTAGCTTAGAAGTACCCTGGTCACTTTAGTAATTTGTTTTACCTCATTTGACATTGATCTATGATATGATCGACATGACTCACTGGTGCCTAGAGAGGCTCTAACTTGTTTTTCCTGGCTCTGTGCCCTTCCCAGAGCACATCACCACCCCACACCCCAAACTCACTCCTTCTTATAGCTTCTTACAGCTGGCTTGTGGGAAATGGGACTGGTCTGGGGTTCTCTGGTAGTGCTCTGGAAAGTGGCTATTGTTTCAGAACTGAGAGCACCGCAATGAGCAGACACTGCATAGACTGTTCTGAAGATTAAATTCCACAGATCTGGACATTGCCCAAGAAGTCCCTTCATTTAGCATGGCTTGTATGCTCAGGTTCCAGTCTTCTTATTTCTTACCTGGAGAACTCTTGCTCTTCACTGATCCATTAATTGTTGGTGTACCAATTTGTGTTTCAGCTGTGCCAAAATGAAGGATCAGGATTATCTTCTAAACAAAAAGAATGACCTCCTTCTCCTGCATCTAGGCCCTAAGGCATTTCCCTGCTCACTAACAGGATTAAAAGTATTTTCATATGTTTATTAGCCATGGTGAATTTTTCATTCTTATCTGTCCACTTTTATTGGGTTGCTTTTTCTTAACAGTTTATAAGAACCATCATATATTGGAACTTGGAACTTTTTATTAAATGTAATTACTTGTTTAAACTGAATTTTTTAGTGACATCTTTGTCAGTTATTAAGCTACTGTCTCTCAGCTTCCCACCCACCCTTCTATATTCAACTCTGGGATGCTGGAACGGAAACTGCAAAACTATAGTCCTTCTTAGCCAGCTGGCCTTCTGAGAGGTCCCGCCCACAAGAGGCTAGAGAGAGACTAGAGGCCAGGAGGAGGGTAGAAGGAGTTGCTCCTCCCTGTTTTGCTTAATGCTCCATCCACTCAGTGTTGTTCCAGCATTGGCTTCTTACCATGAAGGCAGCACTTGGTTCCAGTTTCCAGCATCTTGCAGCAGTCCCAGAATGATCCTCATTCCAACCCTTGGTGGTAACAGCGAGGTTGTATCTGTGGTAGGCAGAATAATGGCTCTCTAAAGACATCCACATTCTCATTCCTGGAACCTGTTGAGAATGTTATCTTAAATTGCAAAAGGGACCCTGTAGATGTGATTATGATGAGGACTTTGAGATGGGAGATTATTCTAGGTAATCTGGCTAGGCCATGTCATCACAAGGGTCCTTACAAGTGCAAGAGGAGGACAGAAGGGGCAGTGTCAGAGTGATGTGATGTGTGAAGGAATCAACCAGCCAATGAAGAGGAAAGAAGGAACCATAAGCCCAAGAATATGGGCAGTCTCTAGAAGCTGGAAAAGGCAAGAAAATGGATTCTCTCCAAGGGCCTCCAGAAAGAAACATAGTCCTGCTGGCACCTTGATTTTGCTCAGTGAGTTCAGCCAAGAATGGCTGTTGAGGAGCTGAAGAGCATGGCCCCAGTGGCAGTCAGTTCTAGTATGATTCTTCCATTAATTAGCTGGCTTTGGAGACAATGTGGCCCCACCCTGGGCCTCAGTTTTCTCACTCACTGTGTGCTGGGCACCATTATCTCACACAGTAAAATGGGTAGTGATATTTCTCATACTGATGGCTTTAAAGAGGGAAATGGAATATTAGATTTGTGCTTCAGAAAGATCACTTGGGCTGCAGTGTAAAAAATGGTTGGCTCTTTCTTCTTATCCATGTTTGTCCAATATCTTACCCAGTTTCAAGGCTTGGTTCACATTTTCCCTCTTCCACAAGTCCCCTCCCCACCCTGCCTGACCTCTTAGTTGGAGTCATTCTCTACCTGGTGCTCCCCATAAAACAGAGAACTATATATACTGTAAACCCCTTGAAACCGGGCATCACATTTCATCGATATGTGCTCCACAGGGATAGGTCCATGCCAGGACTGATAAATGTGTGCAGAATTATCCTCTGCACTGAAAAACCATTTTCGTGGAACCGAGGAAGAAATAATTGAGCCACTCAATACTTGTTGGGAACTTAAGTCTTCTTTTGATAAGGGAGTTTATCTGCAAGCCTCAAGGAGTGTACAATTAAGCCTACAGGATGTATTTCCCCTAGCTCTGAAAGGTTCTGATCTACCTGGAGTGCTGATGTTGAAAAGGACTGTCTGGGAAACAGGCCCTGAGGCCAGCTTGGTTTATTGTCACTAGGCTTTAATCATATCCTGCAACAGGGAACCCTGAGAGGGTTCTTTTCACCTTGCACAATACAATGTCAGCTTTGCTGAGCTGCACTATTGATAAATGGGAATGAGCAATAATGACCTGCTTTTTCTTTTGAGACTTTTGCCCATTAAATATATTCTTCCTTAGATCCAAGCAATTAGGAATTATGGAAATAAAAAGTTTTTGTTGAATACCTGTTCTACAGTTTGAAGAGCAGCTTTCCTGTTTTATAATTTAGAATAACTTGAAGAAAAAAAACAAAATATCTGTTAGCTAAGAAAAGACAGGAAAATTGTTGTGACTTCTATAGAGTCTGTAATCAAGAACAGTAGATCTAAGAAATCCAGAGATTTCCCGAATAAGTTTTCTTTTTGAGACAGGGTCTCACTTTGTCACCCAGGCTTGAGTGCAGTGGCATGAACACGGCTCACCACAGCCTTGACCTCCTGGGCTCAAGTGATCCTCCTGTCTCAGTTTCCAAACTAGCTGAGACCATAGCTTACAGGTGCACACCACCACGCCTGGCTAATTTAAAAATTTGTTTTGAGGCTGGGTGCGGTGGCTCAAGCCTGTAATCCCAGCACTTTGGGAGGCCGAGGTGGGTGGAACAGGAGGTCAAGATATCGAGACCATTCTGGTCAACATGGTGAAACCCCATCTCTACTAAAAATACAAAAAATTAGCTGGGCACGGTGGTGCGTGCCTGTAGTCCCAGCTACTCAGGAGGCTGAGGCAGGAGAATTCCCTGAACCCAGGAGGCAGAGGTTGCGGTGAGCCGAGATTGCACCATTGCACTCCAGCCTGGGTAACAAGAGCAAAACTCCATCTCAAGAAAAAAAAAAAAAAATTAAAAATTTGTTTTGGTAGAGATGTGGGGGAGGTTTGCCATGTGGCCCAGGCTGGTCTTGAACTCCTGGGTTCAAGCAATCCTCTTGCCTTGGCCTCCCAAAGTACTGGGATTACAGACCTGAGCCACCATGCCTGGTCCCAAATAATTTTAAAAAGAATTTCACTGGCGATTAGTTAAAATATTCTGGGATTAATTTTTATTACTTTATTATTATTATTCTACCACACTGCCTCTGGTAGTGTGGTGGGGACTGAAAAGAAACATGAGAGAACTTTCTGTAGTGATAGTCATACTTTACAATTGGATGCAAGGGCTGGGCACAGTGGCTCACACCTGTAATCCCAGCACTTTGGGAGGCTGAGGGTGGATCATTTGAAGTCAGGAGTTTGAGACCAGCCAGGCCAACATGGTGAAACTCTGTCTGTACTAAAAATACAAAAATTAGCCGGGCATGATGGCAGGTCCCTGTAATCACAGCTACTCAGGAGGTTGAGGCAGGAGAATAACTTGAAACCAGGAGGCGGAGGTTGCAGTGAGCTGAGATTGCGCCACTGCACCCCAGCCTGGGCAACAGAGTAAGACCCTGTTTCAAAGAAAAAAAACACTGGCTGTAGAATACATATGTGAATACATTTGTCAAGACAAAGACTAATTCCAGCAGCAAGTTATGGTGATGTTATATGTAAGGGAGTAGAGAGTGACGGAGGTTACCTTGGAATAGAGCTCAGCCCCTGCCATGCTCATATGTTCTGTAGCTTTCACTGCTGGCCTGTTTATGGCCTCCATTGCAGAGGGCAGGCTGAGAAGAAAAGATATCCTGCTCTCCAAAGCTTTTGAACCTGGAAAATACAGGGCAGGCGTAGAACTGTGGAAAATGAGAAAGGTACTAGGAAGCAGTATGATAAATAGTGGCTAACATAAACCCCATTCTACAAGTGGGTATTTTTTTTTTTTTTTAGAAAAATGCTAAAAAAGTAGCCTTGCAGGGCAGATCAGAGCAGCAGTTCCTATTATATGGTGAGAAGGGACCCTGTGGGCTCTGAGACTCTTTCAGAGAGTCAAGAGAGCTAAACTATTTTCATAATAATAGGCTGGGCACAGTGGCTCACGCCTGTAATCCCAGCACTTTGGGAGGCCAAGGCGGGTGGATCACGAGGTCAAGAGATCGAGACCATCCTGGTCAACAAGGTGAAACCCCATCTCTACTAAAAATACAAAAAAAAAAAAATTAGCTGAGCATGGTGGCGCGTGCCTGTAATCCCAGCTACTCAGGAGGCTGAGGCAGGAGAATTGCCTGAACCCAGGAGGCAGAGGTTGCGGTGAGCCAAGATTGCGCCATTGCACTCCAGCCTGGGTAACGAGCGAAACTCTGTCTCAAAAAAAAAAAAAAATTAGCTGGGTATGGTGGTATGCAGCTGTAGTCCCAGCTACTAGGGAGGCTCAGGTGGGAGAATAGCTTGACCCGGGAGGCAGAGGTTGCAGTAAGCCAAGACTGACCACTGCACTTCAGCCTGGGCAACAGAGAAAGACTCCATCTCAATAATAATAATAATGAGTTATTTGTCTTTTTACTTGCTTTCTCTTTCAAATGTATAGTGGAGTTTCCAAACACTGAATGACATATGAGAGCTTAAAAAATTAAATGCAAGAGTTGGTTTAAGAATCCAGCTGTCTTAAGAGATTCTACTCATGAATCCAACTAAAAGAACAAAAAAAAAAAGAGAGAAAATTTAAAAAAAAGAATCCAGCTGTCTTTTGAGCCAGATATTAAAGAAATTTGCAAAGATGTAAAACAATGCCACTCTTTCCATTATTTTTTTAGACAAGAGTTATTTTTCATTAAAATGTTATGTTAATGTAAAATTAATTTATTATTGTTATTTCTAAATGAGTTAAGAAATATTTTAAAGTTTCTCCATTTTGGTCTGGGTGCAGTGGCTCACGCCTGTAATCCCAGCACTTTGGAGGCCAAGACAGATGGATCATTTGAGGTCAGGAGTTTGAGACCAGCCTGGTCAACATGTGAAACCCTGACTCTACTAAAAATACAAAAATCAGCCTGGCGTGGTGGCACATGCCTGTAATCCCAGCTACCTTGGGAAGCTGAGGCAGGAGAATTGTTTAAGTCCAGGAGGCAGAGGTTACAGTGAGCTGAGATTGCACCACTGCACTCCAGCCTGGGTGAAAGAGCAAGACTCTATCTCAAAAAATATTTACAAAATAAAAATAAAGTTTGTCCATTTCAATTTATAATATGGTTTGTTTTTGTCTTTTTTAGAAACAGGGTGTTATTCTGTCGCTCAAGCTAGAGTGCAGTGGTGTGATCATAGCTCACTGCAATCTTAAACCCCTGGACTCAAGTGATTCTCCTGCCTCAGCCTCCTGAATAGCTGGGACTATAGGCACACACCATTATGCCTGGCTAATTTTTACATTTTTGGCAGAGATGGTCTTTTACTATGTTGATAGACTGGTCTTGAATTCCTGGGCTCAAGTGATCCTCCTGCTTTGGTCTCCCAAAGTGATGGAATTAGAGGTATGAGCCACTGTGGTTGGCTAATATGATAAAATTTGAAAGCTGTTAATAAACATGGGGTCCTTAGGGGCCATAGTAATTTTTTATTAAAAGTGTTTGAAAAGTGAGGTATAATTTACATACAGTAAAATGAAAAAGTCTTAAATGTACAATTCAATTAATTTTGACATATGTATATACCATAAAACCTTCACCCAGTTCAAGATATAGACCATTTCCTTCATCCTGAAAGGACCCCTTGTGCCTTACTCAATCAATACCTAGTCCATCAGAGGTATCCATTATTCTGATTTCTACCACCATGGTTAGTTTTGCTTGATTTTGAATGTCATATGAATGGAATCATAACAATGTACTTCGTTTGACTTTTTAAAATCTTAGCATAAAGTGAGATTCATCCATGCTCTTCTGCATATTACTATACTTTTTTATTTTTATTTTTGCTAGTGGTATTCCACTGTTTGACTATATCACAAATTGTTTTATGTATCTCTTAATGGATATTTGGATTTTGTCAAGTTTTTGGCTATTAGTAATTAAGTGGCTATGAACATTCCTACACAAGACTTTTGGTGAACATATAAAAACTAATTTTTCTTGAGGATATTCCTGGATGTGGAATTGCTAGATCTTGGAGTAGCTGTATGTTTGGCTTTATAAGAAACTGCTGACAGGGCATGGTGGCTCATGCCTATAATCCCAGCACTTTGGGAGGCTGAGACAGGTGGATCACTTCAAGTCAGAAGTTCAAAACCAGCCTGGCCAACATGGTCTCTACTAAAAATACAAAAATTAGCCAGGCATGGTGGCACATACCTGTAATCCTAGCTACTCAGGAGGCTGAGACAGGATGATTGCTTGAATGCAGGAGGCAGAGGTTGCAATGAGCCAAGACTGCACCACTGCACTCCAGCCTGGGTGACAGAGCGAGACTCCATCTCAAAAAAAAAAAAGAAAAGAAACTGCCAAATAATAATGTATGCAAATTCAAGGTACTACTCATTCTCAGCAACACTTGCTAATGACAATTTAAAATTTTTTTAGCCATTCTGCTGAATATGTAGGGTATCTCACTGTGGTTTAAGTTTGCATTTCTCTGATATTATTCTGAGTACTTTTTTACTATGTTTATCATTCTTTGAATAGCTTCTTTTGTAAAATGCTTAAGTCTTTTGCACATTTTAAATTTGAATGTCTTTTGCTTATTGGTTTGTAGGGGTTCACTGTATATTTTCTGTGAGAATTATCTGTCCACAGCTTGCCTATTTACTTTCTTAATGACTTTTGATAATCAAATGTCTTAATTTTAATTTAACAATTTTTCTCTTTTTGTTTTAGTGCATATTGTGATCTGATTAAGAAATCTTTACCTAACCCAATATCAGGAAGATATTCCATGTTTTTATTTGGAAGTTTGCTTGTTTTAGCTTTTGAATTTAGGTCTCTAATATATCTAAAAATTTCTTTATATATAGTTTGAATTAAGGATCAAGGTTCATTTTTTTATACATCTCATTATTCCAACACCATTTATTAAAAGACCATCTTCCCCTACATAATTACAGTGGTACCTTTGTTGTAAACCAGGAAAGCATATATCTAGTTCCTTTGTGCAGTCTTTTTTTTTTTTTTTTTTGAGATGGAGTCTCACTTTGTCACCCAGGCTGGAGTGCAGTGGCACAATCTTGGCTCACTGCAACATCTGCCTCCTGGATTCAAGAGATTCTCCTGTCTTAGCCTCCCAAGTAGCTGGGATTACAGGCGTGAGCCACCACACCTAGCCAGCTCAGTCACATTTAAGAGTATAAAGAGGTTCAGAGACCAAAAATTTTGAGAGCTGCTGATATATAGAGCATAGGCTCAAAAGCCAAACACACAGGATTAAATTTCAGTCCTACAGTTTAAAAGCTATAGGAACATTACAAATAATTGAATTTTTCCATGTCTCTGTTTCCTCACCTTTAAATTTGGGCAATAATAGTACCTATAAGGCTGTGCTTGTCAAATATTAGGCATTATATGAATTATTTTGTGTTTGTTAAATGAGGTAGGCACATACATTTTAAAAGAATACAAAGTTACAGGAAAACACAGTCAAAAAAAATCGGAAAGGAAATGTAATATTTTGATAACTTCAGGGTACTTAGTATCCAGTTATATCAGCTTCATTTAAAAATATACAGAAAGGGCTGGGCGTAGTGGCTCATTCCTGTAATACCAGCACTTTGGAAGGCCAAGGTGGGTAGATTACGAGGTCAGGAGCTTGAGACCAGCCTGGCCAACATGGTGAAACCCCATCTTTAGGCATGGAGGTCATGCAAAAAAAAAAAAAAAGAAAGAAACCCCACCTCTACCAAAATTACAAAAAATTAGCTGGGCATGGTGGCATGCACCTGTAATCCCAGCTACTCGGAAGGCTGAGGCAGGAGAATCGCTTGAACCCAGGAGGCAGAGGTTGCGGTGAGCAGAGATCATGCCATTGCACTCCAGCCTGGACAACAGAGCAAAACTCTGCCTCAAAAAAACAATAAATCAATCAATAAATAAAATGGCCAGGTGCAGTGGCTCACGCCTGTAATCCTAGCACTCTGTGAGGCTGAGGCGGGTGGATCACTTGAGGGCAGGAATTCAAGACCAACCTGGCCAACATGGCAAAACCTTGTCTCTGTGAAAAATACAATATTAGCCAGGTATGGTGGCATGGGCCTATAATCCCAGCTACTCAGGAGACTGAGGCAAGGAGAATTGTTTGAACCCGGGAGGTAGAGGTTGCAGTGAGTCAAGATCATGCCACTCTACTCCAACCTGGGCAACAGAGCCAAGACTCTTTCTGAAAAGAAAATAAAAATTTTTTTTAAGACAAAGTATATACATATATAAAATATATGAAATCTATTGTATTTCTCTATACTAGCAACAAATTATTAAAAATTAAAATAAAATACATTTACAGTAGCATCAACAACATAAAATACCTAGGGATTAATTTAACAGACAATGCAAAAGACCTGTATGTTAAAAACTACAAAACATCCTGAGAAAAATAAAAGACCTAAATACATGGGGAGAAACCCCATGTTCATGATAAGAAGATGCAGTACTGTTAAGATATTTACTCTCCCCAGTAGATTGAAGATTTAATGCAACCCAACCAAAATCCCAGCAGGCA